CATTACGAGAGTCAAATTTGATGTTTGCTTGGTCAAGAATTATTTACTAACTGTTGAGAAACAAAACTTAAACAAAGAATAACTCATCTATAAATACCCATGCTTTGCATGCAAGTTCTCACATCTCACCCAGCAAAAAAAAAAAAAAAAACCCATAAAATCATCAGAGTCATAAAACAGCAATAGAGTAATTTTTTAAAAGATAATTTATCGTATTATAAATTAGGAGTAAATTATAAATTAGTCCTTCAGTAGTTAAGAATCGAATTGAGTAGTTTTTTATTATTTCAAAAACTACTTCCTTAATCTTTTAATTAGTATTGATTATATTTAATTTAATATTAATTTATTTTCAAAAATATTATTTTTTTCCATCAATCTTTCCATATTTTTCTACTTAATTTTTCTTTTTTTATATATTTTTTAAAACAAAAATTGAAAAAAAAACAAAAAATAAATTAAATTGTCAACCTAAAACTTTTCCATATTTTAGTTATTTTATTTGTTCCTTACTTATTTTATTTTATTTTATCACATTTTACTTCATTTTAGAATTTATTACAAAAAACTCAAAAAAATAGAAAAAAAATACAAAAACAAAAATTGAGAAATTTTACACCCAATGATGCAATTGAACTAAATGGAAGTGTAATTGAAGTAATTGGGGACCCAATTGATACAATTGGATTTACAAAGATTGAAATTGCTTAACAAAAGAATACAATTAATAAATTTAACTTATAAGCACTGAAATTTCAAAAAAAGGGTATGATTGCAAGAAATATAAATTGGAAGGGACCAGCGTGAAATGTTTAAAAAACACCAGGACCAATCAATTCAACTTTTCTCTTCGAATTCGTTCCTACACTCAACAATTAATGTTGATATTGTTGCACACTCCATGGGCAAAAATCCCTCCTTTTCTGCTTATTTGAATTCACGAATCACGTTGGATTTGCAGCAAACCCATGCTGCCATTGGCAGCCACCCATGCTACCCCTGTTGCAGCAGCTCCCCCTCACTGTTTGATGTCAGATTTAGCTTATAAATTGGGGGAAGAAATCGATTTCAAAGGGTTGGAAAAAAAAGTTAGAAAAATTTGGTTTGAGAGATAGTGAAATAGAAAAGCAAAAGAGAGTTGAAAAATTCGAAAATTTGGGTGTCAGATGCTGGGTTTTTCTGGGTTGGTGTTCTTGGGGTTCTGGGTTTTTGTTCATAATCTGTCAGCCCCTTTTAGTTCTTTTTTTTTTGTTTATTTCTCTGGTCTAAATTTCCATTTTCACAGTTTTCTCCATCTCCTTATTTGAAATTCGGGGTTCATTTCTTTCATTTCCGGTTTTTGTTCTTCACGTTTCTGGGCAGCTTGCATTTGTTCTTGAATTTCTGGGCAGCTACTGTTCATATTCTTGGTGCTCTTCGGGCTGGTTTGATTTTCGTCATTCCCTGGGTAGATTGAAGGGTGTTTAAGTTTGTTTTGAGGAAGATTATTGTTTTTTGGGTGTAGAGAAAAAGAAATCGAGGTTAAAGATTAGAAAAATAGTGAGAAATTAGCACTTTTGGTTCTGCATTTTCTGGGTTTTCCTGGTCTCGTTCTTGGTGTTCTTCCCGTTTCCCAGGTCAGCTCCTGGATTTCCTAGCGTGATTCCATACTTGCTTTAATTTTAATTACTTGTTTGCTATTTTTTTCATGCTTTGAGTTGTGGTCTGTTTAATTGAGTCATTTTCCCGGAAGAAGTCATTTGTTTTCCCGGAAGAAGTCCTTTGTTTTCCTGGAAAATTTGAAGAACTAGAGAGGGAAAACGAAGAACACGAAGAACAGGAGAGAGAGAGAGAGGGTCAGGACGCCATTTTTCCAAACTTTTTTCGCCTGGGCCTGTTTCTGGGCTTAAGCCCAGTGAGTAAAAAAGACGCTCGGGCTGGACTGATTTCAGTCCAGCCCATCCCTTTCTCTGCCGAAAAAACAAAAAAACAAAAAACAAAAAAAAAGAAAAAGAAAAAAGGGGCTGGACTGTCCAGTCCTGCCCCATTCCCCCGCCCGAAAAAAAATAAAAAATAAAAATAAAAAGAAAAGAGGCTGGACTGGCGTCCCAAAAAAATAAAAATAAAAAATGAAGAAAAAATGAGGGAAGAAAAAAAAAACAGAGAAAAGGAAAAGGAGATGGGTCTAACCCAATGGACCTGCAGTCCATAAACAAAAAGCCCAATTTTTTTGTTTTACTTGTATTTTATTTATTTATTTTGTTTTAAATAATTTGCATGTCTTGAATGTTTGCTTATACATTCTTATTTCCTGTTTAATTTTAGATTTTAATATTCTATTTTTCTTAAAATTTTATTCAATTAATTTTAGTTTTAAAATTTAATTTTCATAATTAGGTTAGATAATTAAATGATAGATGAATTGTCTAGTCTCCTAAATCTTAGGGACAAATGACAATTTCCCATTAACAAAAAATATTAATTAAAATTCTCAACTAAGTCTCTATCTAATAGAGGTTGTAGTTTGACCAAAAAATAAAAATAATAAGAAAAATTTTTAATCAAGCCTTTTATCCGATAAGGATTATCGTTAACAAAAAAAAAATGAGAAAACGAAAAAATAAAATAAAATTCTCAACGAAGTCTCCAATTTGATAGGGACTATCATTTGATGAAAAATAAAATAAAAAATTATCAATGAAGTCTTTTATTTTATAAGGACTCTCATTTCATCAAAAAAATAAAAATAATAAAAAAGTTCTTAATGAAGCCTTTTATCCGATAGAAACTATCGTTAATAATAATAATAATAATTATTAAATTTTTTTTAACAAAGTCTCATATCCGATAGGGATTGTATTAAAGAAACTAAGTGACGATTCCATTTCTGCAAATAAGAAAACTTAGAATAGATTTCATATTTTGTTAGGAGTCCCATTCTACATCGAATAACGACATAAATTATAAAAAAATTTAAAAATATATAAACTAAATAATTATTTTTTAAATAAAAAATTAATTAATTCCTTTCTCCAGACTAGGAGAACTGATTTATAGCCTACAAGTAATACTACGGATAAGAAATATCTTTTGACAGCTCCTGGCAACACTCGCTTTCTAAGATGAACATGTCGCAAGTAACTAACAAAAGAGTCACGGAACCGGCTTAGCTTTAGCCATTAACCATTTTTAAATACCACAATTTTTTATTTTTTTGCTATTTACAGACAGAAACTTAAAGGATTGAAATAGATCAGAATGCTTTTTTTCCTTTAACAACACCAGCATTTTTAAGACAATTGTTTGAATATTTTTAACCAATCATGGAATGAAGTATATAATTTATTAATTTTTGTTATAATTATATAGTTGAGTATATTGAATTTATATCAGAATTTCTTGCTATAGTGATTAGAACTAATCTAACTTCATAAACACACTAGATCATGTGTGGGTGAGTTTTTTTAAACTATATAAACTATAGTTGAGTATACTGAGTATGATTTTTAATGAATGATTAAATTTGTATGCAGAGTTTTGTTTGGGGTGAATATCTGTGTTTTGACAAGTGATTATTATTATTATTCATATTTTAAATCATGTCAGTTAGAGACAATTAACATGTTTGACAAACGAATCCTTGAAATATTATTATTATTATTATTATTCATGCTTTAAACCATCTCAACTATGAACAATTGACATGTTTTAAATCAGAGCAGGAATTGGTAACGTGTAAGTTAGAGAAAATTGACTTATAATGATTGTCACCAGTGAATATACTAAAGATGTTGACAATCTTTGTTTGACCATAATTGTCACTAGTGAATATAAAAGATCGAATGACGTGAGTGCCCCTGAAAAGAACGCTACTTCAAGACCAAAAGATCACGATGCACGTGGCAGTGACCAAGCGAATAACGAAGATCGTTTAGTTTTGGAGAGCCAAAGGAAAAATTAGCTGGGAAAAGACTCAATTATCTATCGTTTTCAAAGGAAAAACAAAAAACTCAATTATTTATGCTTGAAATGATAAAACTGAGCGTAACTGTTCGTCAACATTTTCCATGGAAAATCTAGCAGTTAAGTGTGATTTTTTCATCTTCACACAAGTATATAGATTAAAGAGAACAGAAGCAATATTGTTTGTGAAATCTTTTTCTTTATTAATAAAGAAAAAGACAGATAGCGCCTATGTCGTTGTCAACATTAACAGCCATTTAAAGATATTCTCTTCACGGATGAAAATCTTGAATTTGAAGAATGCAAGAGCAGGATGAAGATTACAAGATGAAAACGTTCTCCCCAGTGTATAAGAATTTAAAAATCTAGAAGTTCTTGATAGTTAGGTAACTAAGAACAAATTTCTTCTTAATCCACGTTATTATTATTATTATTATTATTTTGTCCGGTAAGAAGGCGTTAAAGTACTTGTAGAAAGTCTTTTTCGCCACAAATTTAATCATAATTAGGCTCCGGGCTGTTTCTTATTATTACTACTACGTACGTACTCTTTGCTAATGCTATTACTTATCATGGAGAAATTTTATAATACATTAGAAATAACTAATAATATATACAGTAATTATTTTATAGATTTACTTTGAGAAGAGAGATAGACATAAAAAAAATTATATTCATATACACTAAAAATAATAAGAAAATTTTTACGTCCGTTCAAATTTTTTTATTTTCTATCTCTCTCTCTTTTTTGTCTATCTCTCTCTTCAATGTGAGTCTATAAAATAACTACTATATACGTCACTAATTACTCCTAATGTATTATAAAATTTCTCGCTTATTATGGGTCTCCTTGGTTGATCTAAAGTATTAATTATTGTGTCAAATTTGATGTTTGCTTGGTCAGGTATTATGTTGAAAAACAATGCTTAAACGAAGAATAACTCATCTATAAACACCCTTGTTTTGCATGCAAATTCTCACACCTCACCCAGAAAACAATACCCTAAAAAAAAAAAAAAAAGCCAATTCAAGGTAGCAAGTGGAAAATAAAAAGCACAATGAAAGTTGCTAATTTGCTAGTAGCTTTTGCTCTCTTGGCTCTGGCTTCCTCATTTGTCACTGCCTATGACCCCAGCCCCCTCCAAGACTTTTGTGTAGGAATACATGATGCTGATGCTGCTGGTAAATCCTCATTTTTCTCTTTAATTTCATTTGTCTTTTTTCAATCTTTGATCGAAATTTCATGAGCCCGACTCAGCATGAGTCTTTATATACAGTATTGCCTGAGTCCTAGGATCACAATAGTGGAGCACATAAAATATGTGTTATGGGGCTCATATTGATCTAAGACCATGCGGTTTTTTTTTTAATCAAAATTATGATACTTTTTGAGCTACCAACTGATATATATCATTCATTTTCAAATTTCCATGACAATTAATAACACTTTGCTTGTTTATGCAGTGCTTGTTAATGGAAAATTCTGCAAGAATCCAAGCTTTGCCACCATTGATGATTTCACGTATTCGGGGTTTGATGTTCGTGGAAACACCTCAAATCAACTTAGAGCACATGTTAATCTCATTACGGCTGATCTAATGCCAGGCCTTAACACTCTTGGCGTATCTTTGGCACGTATAGATTTTGAACCAAATGGCGGTCTAAACCCTCCACACTATCACCCTAGAGGATCAGAGGTTCTCTTGGTTTTGGAGGGCACTCTTTATGCTGGTTTTGTCACATGAAACCCTGATCATCGCCTCTTCGTCAAGATTTTAAAAGTAGGAGACTTCATTGCGTTTCCATTTGGCCTCGTTCACTTTCAAATGAATGTCGGAAAAACTCCTGCAGTTGCTATTGCTGCATTAACAAGCCAAAATCCAGGAGTAAATACTGTAGCAAATGCAATCTTTGGAGCCAACTGGCCTATTAATCCTGAAGTTCTCACTACAGCGTTCCACTTGGATAAAACCTTGTGGAGGATCTTCAGACTCAAAACTGGGTGAACCCTTCATAAATAGTAATTTCTCATATTTTCAATAGATAGTTGATATGTAACAATAAAGAAGTGCTCTATGCCTCTATTTATAGTGCAATAAGTAATTTATTCCTTATATGTAATTGTGGTGCAATAAGTAAGTGGTTGTATACCTTCTTTATTTGTTGAATTGTGTACGTTTAATTCTACCAGTTTCGTCAAGATAATCAGAGGATCCTTTCCCTCTGTCATGCATGTGTGATGGGTTTTAGCCCTTCAGGCAAATTATGTATATATATATAATAGTTGGACTTGATTGAGACTGCTAAACTTAAAAAAGAGATATCGGTAACTAGGTATCCTAAAATCATACAGATTACTTGCTTGATTTTGTACGTAGTTTAGTAATGTGAGTCAAAAAATGAATCAACGGCATACCAACAACAAATTTTTATTGTGATTTGTTTTTTTTTTTTTTTTAATGAAAAATCAAAGGAATGAAATTAAAAGGTTGCCGGCAAATAGGAGGCTGTAGAAAACAAAGGTATAACCAAAAAAAAGAAAAAAATTTACAGCAAATTACGTCCAAGCAACAACCTTTCCTTCTTATTAATTGAATTAAAGGTCTGTTTTGTTAGATTATCAGTTATTCCATAACCAAGCAACAAATTTTTGGTGTAAGCTGCTTTATCTCATGTTCTAATCTTAATTATTTTGTGAAAAAGCTGAAAATTGTGCAAAGTAAAGATGTATGGAAGCATAGCTAACTTAAAATTAACTTTATTTTAACTTTGTGGAAACTTTGAGGACAATAAAACTTATCAAGGACTAATTTATAAAAAATCTTAATTTTAAGTATAAAAATAACTTTTTGGAAAAATAATAATGGCTGAAATAAAATATTTTGATAAATTATTTTCAATGAGTATTTAATGAATATTAAATGATCCTATAGACTAAATATAGAAGTAACTAGTGGAAAAATTTTATAAAAAAGCTTTTAATAGTGTGGATTTGGCATGTATTTGTTGATAATTTGGCTATTTTATTTCTTATTTTCAAACAACTAAGAGCCATACTAATCAAGTGACCATCCCTGTTATAGTACTTCTGTGCTTTTCCTAAATCTATCATCTCGAGTGTTAACCACCGAAGGGTGTCAAAAGTCCACGCATTTTTGGCAGAACAATTTGCATATGACCAGAAAAATTATAATTAATTCTCTAGATACTTTTATTGATTGTTGCTACGCGACGTCGGACGGGACTCGCTAAAGATTATTAAATCTAAGTGTTAATTATTTATAAAATTATTTACAGAGTTTTGGAGTCGCCACCTAGTATTTAAGGAACTAGTAACCTAAAAGTAGCACTGGTTCGAGAGATTCCTAAAATAAAGAGTTAGTTACGCTTTTAGGAAGATATTTAATCACCTAAAAGTGCCATTTTCGAAAAAAAGATACCATGTATGGTTTAGTTCTAAATTCATTTCCTAAAAATCCATATCAAACCATTTTCTAATTTTTAAACTCCCATTTTTTTCAAAGTTAAACTAAAAATTTTTTACTTTGAGCGTGGCATCATATTGAAACGATCGTCGGTCCCCTTCATCGGAAGACACGTCGGTTCAAACATCGGATCCACTAAAAGCCTTAATACAACCGACGTGTCGGAGGACGTCTTAATTAAAAGGTAATATTTTTGATAACGTCGGTCTCTATCAAGTAGGAGACTTCGTCGAAAATCTTGAATATTCCTTTTGGTGACGTCGGTCTCTATTAGATAAAAGACTTTATTTATTTATTTATTGTTGTGGCGTCGATCCCTACTAAGTAGAAGGCTTCGCCAAAAATTTTTAGACATTTTTTGTGACGTCGGTCCCTATCGGATAGGAGACTTCGTCAAGATTTTTATAATTTTTTTCTAACCATTCATATTAAAGAAAAGAAACAAAAAGAAAAATTGAAGTATCAACTCTAAATTAATATAAGAAAAAAAAAACAACAAGGATTAAAAATAAACATGCTAAAAAAAATAAATAATAAAAGTAAAAAAAAAAGATAAATAGATGAATAATAATAAAAAAAGAAATCATCCTATACCTAAACCATTAATCCACAACTTATTTTTTCTACCCATCCCTTTTTCCTTTTTCTTTCTTATTATTATTATTTTTTATTTTTTCTTCCCTAATTCTATTTTTTATTTTCTTTATTACCCCTTCTCTTTCTTTTTCCTTCTTTTTTTTTTTTTTTTTTTGAGAGAAGGTCGGAATGGAACTCGCATTCTCGTTTTATTTTTTTTTGGGTTTTGGAAGGGTGGGCTACGGGCTGGACTGATAACGGCTTGACCCCCTCCCTCCTTTGTTTTCTTGCAAACGGGCTGGACCGGATCGATTGCAATCCAGCCCACCATTTTTCTTTTTCAAGAAAACTAGACTAAACCTTAAGCCCACAAACAGGTTTCATCTCTTTTATTTTTCATTTTTCGGATCAAAACCCACGATTTCTAGCCTTCAACTCTTTCTCTCTCTTGTTCTTCCCTTTTTCTTTCTATTTTCCAGTTTCTCCATCCTTAAGAACCCGATTTCGGATAAATTAGCTAAATAACATGCATCTTTATACTCCGGTTTTGATCACAAGCCCAACATAAAGCTAAATCTTAGAAAAAATTACGAAACTAATGTTTGGAATATAGAAGCAATTGAATTAAAAACTCGGAAAAATGATGAACACAAAACCCGATATATGCTTAAGCCGACAATTGAAGAGAAAACAAAAAAACATGGATGGAAATCGATCCTCGGGACAATTTTGGAGAAGTTAAGGAACCGTCAATGGGTTTTGGATGCTCGGACGAGTTCAAGATCGGAGGACTAAAGTCAGCGAGTGTGATGAACTTCAAAATGTAAAACCCGAATGCCGGACACCGCCGTGAAAAACAAATTGAAAGGGAAGCCACGAAAAAACGAAATTAAGCCTCCAAAACTCGTATATTTGAACTAGAAATCTTGTGAGGATTGAAACCAAACTCGGAATAACCAAGAACGATTTAGCTACGAGCCAAACCGTAGATGAACTCATGCCCGAATTGAAGAACATGAAGAATGCTCAACCCGGAAAACCCAGCGACTTAAAGATCGAAGATTTAGTTTTTTGCTTTTGATTTTCAACCTCTCTCCACCCAAAATTCCTCCCTTTCAATTTTTTTCTTTTTTTCTCTCGTGAAATTAGACCCGTTTTGTAGCCAAAAACTTCTTAGAATCGAATCTAAATCCCGAATTTTTCCGTCAAAATATTTTCTCTTTAATTCATGATTAATGCAAAAAAAAAAAATTGGTCATTGCTTGATTCTCTCGTTATTAATTTCGTCCGAGAATCATGATGAATGCAAAATCAAAACAAGAAATTTGATGGAAGATTTGACAGATTTCTCCCAAAGCTTTTCGGAGAGAAATCAAAATTGGAGTGGACGACGAGTCGTCCTCCCCACTCCGGTCTTGTCGTCCGCTCCAAAAGTCCAACTTGATCCTTCGCATTTAAATTTCAGCAATTACGCCCTCTCGTGGAATAATTTCAGTCTTTATAAAGTGCAATCTTATCAATTGGATCCTCGTAAGAAGCAATTTAGGTTCTAAATTTTTTAATTGATTCAATTATATCCCTAATTACTTCAATTATACCTTTCTTTAAATGCAATTGTGCCCCTGAATGAATGTTTTTGTGTTTTTTATCATTTTCTTCTCTCTTTTTTTCATGTTTTTCGAGTAAACTTCAATTGAAATAAAACAAAACATACATTAAATAAAAAATAAAAAATAAATAATAAAAAGGATAAATTTGGGTTATTACATTGATCATCACATAAAAGACTACGGTACTATAAAACTAAAATTAAGATTGAATTTCACCATATTCAACAACTAAAATAACAACAAAACACAAAAAATCATTAAAACAGTTTTTTTATTGGGACTACTTCATTTCATTTTCGTCTTGCTCTTAATATAGGAAGAAAAAGAAACTAAGATACAATTAATGGTGCCAATGAAAAGAACACTAGTCGAAGACCAAAAAGATCAAGATGCAAGTGGCAGTGACCAAGCGAATAACGAAGGAAAAATTAGCTAGGAAAAGACACGGGCACCTACTATTGTGCCCAATAAACACAATTATTTATCGTTTTCGAAGGAAAAAGAAAAAAAAACTCAATTATTTGTGCTTGAAATGATAAAACTGGACGTAACTGTTCATTAACATTTTCCATGGAAAATCTAGCAGGTAAGTCCGTAAGTGTGATTTTGTCATCTTCACACATATATATAGATTAAAGATAACAGAAGCAATATTGCTTGTGAAAAAAGAAAAGAAAAAGACAGATAGCGCCTATGTAGTTGTCAACATTAACAGCCATTTAAAAAGATATTAAAATCGTGAATTTGAAGAATGCAAGAGCAGGATGAAGGTTACAAGATGAAAACGTTCTCCCCCAGAGTATAAGAATTGAAAAATCTAGAAGTTCTTGATAGTTAGCTCACTAAGAACAGTTTTCTTCTTAATCCACGTCATTGTTTTTTGTCTGGTAAAGAGGCCTTAAAGTACTTGTAGAAAGTCTTTTTCGCCTCAAATTTAGTCATAATTGGGCTCCTGGCTGTTTCTTATTATTACCACAACGTACGTTCTCCTTGCTATTACTATTACTTAAGCATCATGGGTCTCCTTGGTTGATCGAAAGTATTAATTATCGTGTCAAATTTGATGTTTGCTTGGTCAGGAATTATGTTGAAAAACAATGCTTAAACGAAGAATAACTCATCTATAAATACCCGTGTTTTGCATGCAAATTCTCACACCTCACCCAGAAAACAATACCCCCCAAAAAAAAAAAAAAAAAAAGGCAATTCAAGGTAGCAAGTGGAAAATAAAAAGCACAATGAAAGTTGCTAATTTGCTAGTAGCTTTTGCTCTCTTGGCTCTGGCTTCCTCATTTGTCACTGCCTATGACCCCAGCCCCCTCCAAGACTTTTGTGTAGGAATACATGATGCTGATGCTGCTGGTACATCCTCATTTTTCTCTTTAATTTCATTTGTCTTTTTTCAATCTTTGATCGAAATTTCATGAGCCCGACTCAGCATGAGTCTTTATATACAGTATTGCCTGAGTCCTAGGATCACAATAGTGGAGCACATAAAATATGTGTTATGGGGCTCATATTGATCTAAGACCATGCGGTTTTTTTTTTTTAATCAAAATTATGATATTTTTTGAGCTACCAACTGATATATATCACTCATTTTGAATTTCCATGACAATTAATAACACTTTGCTTGTGTATGCAGTGCTTGTTAATGGAAAATTCTGCAAGAATCCAAGCTTTGCCACCATTGATGATTTCACGTATTCGGGGTTTGATGTTCGTGGAAACACCTCAAATCAACTTAGAGCACATGTTAATCTCATTACGGCTGATCTAATGCCAGGCCTTAACACTCTTGGCGTATCTTTGGCACGTATAGATTTTGAACCAAATGGCGGTCTAAACCCTCCACACTATCACCCTAGAGGATCAGAGGTTCTCTTGGTTTTGGAGGGCACTCTTTATGCTGGTTTTGTCACATCAAACCCTGATCATCGCCTCTTCGCCAAGATTTTAAAAGCAGGAGACTTCATTGCATTTCCATTTGGCCTCGTTCACTTTCAAATGAATGTCGGAAAAACTCCTGCAGTTGCTATTGCTGCATTAACAAGCCAAAATCCAGGAGTAAATACTGTAGCAAATGCAATCTTTGGAGCCAACTGGCCTATTAATCCTGAAGTTCTCACTACAGCGTTCCATTTGGATAAAAACCTTGTGGAGGATCTTCAGACTCAAAACTGGGTGAACCCTTCATAAATAGTAAATTTCTCATATTTTCAATAAATAGTTGATATGTAATAATAAAGAAGTGCTCTATGCCTCTATTTATATTGCAATAAGTAATTTATTCCTTATATGTAATCGTGGTGCAATAAGTAAGTGGTTGTATACCTTCTTTATATGTTGAATTGTGTACGTTTAATTCTACCAGTTTCATCAAGATAATCAGAGGATCCTTTCCCTCTGTCATGCATGCGTGATGGGTTTTAGCCCTTCAGGCAAATTATGTAAAATATATATATATATATATATATATATATATATATAATAGTTGGACTTGATTGAGACTGCTAAACTTAAAAAAGAGATATCGGTAACTAGGTATCCTAAAATCATACAGATTACTTGCTTGATTTTGTACGTAGTTTAGTAATGTGAGCCAAAAAAAAGAATCAACGCCATAACCAACAACAAATTTTTATTGTGATTTGTTTTTTTTTTTTAATGAAAAATCAAAGGAATTAAATTAAAAGGTTGCCAGCAAATAGGAGGCTGTAGAAAACAAAGATATAACAAAAAAAAAAAAAATTACAGCAAATTACGTCCAAGCAACAAGCTTTCCTTCTTATTAATTGAATTAAAGGTCTGTTTTGTTAGATTATCAGTTATTCCATAACCAAGCAACAAATTTTTGGTGTAAGCTGCTTTATCTCATGTTCTAATCTTAATTATTTTGTGAAAAGGCTGAAAATTGTGCAAAGTAAAGATGTATGGAAGCATAGCTAACTTAAAAGTAACTTTATTTTAACTTTGTGAAAACTTTGAGGACAATAAAACTTATAAAGGACTAATTTATAAAAAAATCTTAATTTTAAGTATAAAAATAACTTTTTGGAAAAATAATAATGACTAAAATAAAATATTTTGATAAATTATTTTCATTGAGTATTTAATGAATATTAAATGAACCTATAGATTAAACGTAGGAGTAACTAGTGGAGAAATTTTATAATACACAAGGAGTAATTAGTGATATGTACGGTAGTTATTTCTTGAGTCTACTTTGAGGAGAGAGATAGACACACAAAAAGAGAGAGAGAATAAAAAATTTGAGCGAACGTGAAAATTTTCTTATTACTTTTGGTGGGTATGAATGTAATTTCTCTCTTTTTTATATATTTATCTCTCTCTTCAAATTAGATCCAAAGAATAATTATTGTACATGTCATTAATTACTCCTTGTATATTATAAAATTTTTCTATGATAAGAATTTAAATGAATATTAAATAAATGGATAAATTACATCTGAATGTGATATGAATTTAAAAGGTAATTTCTTAACAAATATGAATAAGATGTTTTTTTTTTAATTGACATTATAAATGATTAAATTAATGGATAAAATACCCAATCATCTTCATCCCTAGACAAATAACCATGTTCTTTCTTTTTTCCAATAGATCAAGCACAGGCTATTTGGCCAGTATATATAAACAGTGGTTGGCAAGTCTTTTTTGCACTGGCATACAGGAACCTAATCGGAACAGATTTCCTATTTGTAGAAATATTTATTAAAAAATAAAAATCCACCAAATTATATGATTGACCACGCTGTCATATGTGACTTCTATTTTCAAGTCAAAGAAATAGAGATGAGAGGGTCAAGAGTAATTTAGCCTGTTCTTCGATTTTTTTTTCTTGTTTTTTCTTTTTTATGAAAACATAAAATGGAGGATGAGTTACTCACTACAAAATTTAAGTGTTTTTTTAAAAAATCAATTTCACTTATTTAATTTAATATAGCATCAAAAACTCAAACAAAACAAATCTATTGATCCAGCAAAAATTAATAGACATATCTCACATTAAATAAATATAAAAATATAAACTAATATAAATTAAAAAGAATTTTGAATGAACAACTATCTACTAGAAAACTTAAATATTTTTAATAAAATTCAATCTTAATTATTTAACTATGAATCACTAACCATAGAGATTGAGTTCTGTCTTTATTGCTCGCTTGCATGCTGATTTCTATATATTTTTGTTTTCCTAACAACATAAAAAGTTGTGTATTGAATGAATTACATCTGTGTAAAATCGTACGTATGAGGACACTGTAATGAGAAGTGTTCAGCATCAATTGTGTATGCATGGACTGAATTATTAAGCATCTTGTGTCATAATTATTTCCAACAAATGAAGAATTTTTAACCAAATATATGTCGTTTTTTAAATTTCAAAAATTAAACTAAATGTTGTCTTTTAAAATTCTAATTTAGAAATGAACAGTCCAATCTTTTGGACCTAAACCAAACAAGTAATGAAAACAAAAAATCCGATTAGGACCGACCGCCACCCAATTGTACCAAAAACAATCTCATTTACCAAGGAAAATCCAGCAGGTGAGGGTGATTTTGTCATCTTACACATATCGTATGTTTATGATGGCATTTCCAAATTAAAGATAACAAAGAATATACATATATAACAATTTTTTATATGATTAATGCTAATGAAGAGGAAACGATATTGATTGAAGTCTATCAGAAAACCATACCAAATATAAAAGTAAAATTACAACAACATCATAGGCAATGATATTAATTACTTGTGAAATAAAGAAAAAGACAGCTAGCGCGCGTGTCGTTGTCAACAATAATGGCCATTCATTCAAGGATGTTCTGTTCACGGATGAAAGGATTACAAGATGGAGACGTTCTCTCCCAGAGTACGTATAAGAATTGAAAAATCTAGAAGTTCTTGATAGCTATAAGATAACTAAGATCAGATCTCATCTTTATTATTATTATTATTTGTCTAATAACGAGGGGTTAAAGTACCTGTAGAAAGTCTTTTTGCCTCAAAGTTTAGTGATAATTATGCTCTTAGCTGCTTCTTATTATTATTATTATTATTATTACTATTATTACTACTACTACGTACTCCACTACAACAAATCTGCCATTTAACGACAGCAAGTAGCCACGGACAATCTTTCTTTTTTAATTTGTAAAAGTTTTGCAATGAAATAGCAACTAAATCAATTTGATATGGTTTTGAGACGACATAGCGATGGATTTTTAACGTTAGATTAACATCGTTCGCTAATTTGAAACCAAATGCAATTCATGACGAAATGGTAACAATTTAGAAACAAAAATTAGCGACTGAATTTATATTTCATCGCTAAAACATAATTTCACTAACCTAGAATTTATTGAGAAATTGGCACGATAGAATTGGTGACAGATTTGTTGTTCCATAGCTACTCATTGATGGATTAGTGATGAATTATTCGTTCCGTCGCTAATGTGTCACCTTACCCATTTTGCAAATTGATGTCTAAAATAAAACAAGCATAGTAGCAACGGATAATAAAATTCGTCACCGAATAGACACGAAATACCGATAGATTGTTGGTTTTCATCAGTAAATTACAATGTTAACCTTTGATTAGTGACGGACACTTTCTTCGATCACTATGTTGTGAGGGATTAGTGATGGAATCACGTTCGTTACTAAATTTGAATCCCTAAATCGGGCGTAACCTCTCTTCTTTCCCATTTTTCTTTTCTCTCTTTCCCTCTCCTCCTTCTCCTCTTACAGCTCGACGAGTGCCCAAACCTAATCACACCAACCAAGGCGATGCAAGTTCCTCTCCAGCCTCCTCCAACAATCGTAACGCTCTTCTCTCCCCAAAAATCAAGTGTTTCTCCCATTAAATCAGCTTGGTTTTCCTCCCCCATTGTTAGTTTTCTCTCTACTTTTTTTTTCAAGTACATTACCCATTTATATTAATTATTAGCTTAGTTTTGATTAATTAGTTAAATTGTTTTTTTATTTTAATTAAAATTAAAATAATTAATCTGAATTAATTAGTGCTAATCTACCTAGTTAGGTTATTTTTATAATAAGGTTTAATATAAATTTGTTATGAGTTGATTAATTAAGTTAATTTAATTAGGATGAATTTTTTTAAGTTAAATTGAAAATAAATTTGTGTTAATTAGGATTAAAATTTGAGTTAATTAGGATAAATATAGGGTTAGTTATGATTAATATCAATTAGTAGTTAGTTGATTAATTAGGTTTATAATAATTATGTTAATTTTAAGAATTTTATGTTAATTAAAATAATTAATCCTCATAAATTAGTGTTAATATAGTTAGGTTATTTTCAATTAGGTTTAATCTAAATTAGTTATAAGTTGATTAACTACATTAATTTAATTACGGTAAATTTTTATAAGTTAATTTGGATTTTAATTTGGGTTAATTAGGGTTATATTAAGGGTAATTTGGTTAAATTTAGTGTTAAAAGAATTTAGGTAAAAGATTAAATTATGTTAAAGATAACCAAAAAATACTCAAAAAAATTTAAAATTTTTTAATTTTATGCAATTTATTTTTCCCGCATTCATGTACATATTTAATTTTAAAGTAAGTTGGATATTTACTTTGAATTGTTGCACACACCATAAGGAAACTTTCAAAAGCCCTAGACCCTAGCTAAAACTCTATTATGATTTAGATAGAGAGATTTGGAGACATGTATGATGAAAGTTTACTAATGATCTTTCGAAATCTCGTTTGGATTGGAATTCACCTTATGCATAGGAAATAGTGGAATAACCTTTTCCTACCTCCCGGTGCATAAGGTTATAGGCTGAATTTCTCCACTAATAATTTAGACAATTTAAAAACTTAAAACGACTTTAGGAGTAGACAAGTTTTGTCTACACCATAGAAAAGCTAAAAAATTAAATTTATTTCAATTTTGCTTTTAATTTGAGTTATATACTTTAATTATTTAATTTATGATTATTGAAGTGTGTCAAGATACACCATAAGCATATGAAACTTGAGGGTCCGAGACCCCTTAGGAATTGATGAGTAATAAGGTTGATTCATGCTCTAGGATGAAGCCGAGAGGACGAGTTTGGGATTTAATGTTGATGGAATATCTAAGATAATTATTAGTCTCAATGTACATAATGTTTGTGTGATTATTTGGATTATTTATTATTTA